AATCTATTTAAAAACATTATTAATTGGATCCATATTTATGTTGTGCCTCAGATCGATTCAGCTGACAGCTGACGCACCTCAGATTAAAATCGTCACCTGACGCACCTCATTTGAATCGTATAAATTTAGTCTACTATAAATAAACTTTTTTTCTATTAATTAAATTGCCTTCATGTTATAAGTAAACCTATTTGTCACAATAATTTACACATATTCTGAAATTTTTATACAATTTTAATTCCTATTAAATATACAATGCGAATATTATTTGGAAAATTTGCATTATAAACACATTTTTAAATGAAGATTTCAAAAGCAAGCATGAATCCAATTGATCTAAAATTTTAGGATTGAATATTTGAAAATACAGCAAATAAGTTTTATTAATAATCAAATGTACATTAGATTAGAAATTTTAATACTTAATTATAATCAATTTTTTATTGTAAAGTGAGGCGCTTCAGGTGACGATTTTAATCTGGGGTGCGTCAGCTGTCAGCTGAGGCATGAGGCACAACATATACAAATAATAAGTATAAACTATAAATTCTATAAAATATCTAAATTAATTTAATTTATATCCTCCGAAATTTAACAGATCTCTCTTCATAGAAATTATATTAAGAGCAAGTCAAGATCATCTGGTTGAATTCGCTGAATCTAATACAGTATATGACCTCGGTCCGATAATTAAATTCTTAAATTCTTTAGTTGCCAAAATTGATAAGTACGCCGAAAGTTTATATAAACGAAATAATTTAAGTTTTTCAAAAAAATTACTAATTTTATTTATTTTATTTTATTTTTTTTTTAAGTATAAAAAATTTATTCTATAGGCAAGCTGGAAAACCTACTTATATATATTTAAAATATTTGCAACAAATCTCCAACTTTTAAATTCTAAATAAAAATACAAAGTCCTTTAAAAAACTTGTACTTGTTATTTTTGTTGTTACATTATAAATTTCTAGGATTGTATTATTCTTTGACTCATTTCCTTTATCATGGAGAATTAATTTCGTGTAAAATATTAATACAAATTTACCCTCGTTTAGAACTTTTTAATGATGTTACTTCAAATATAAATGTAAACAAATATTTATAATTTAGTAAAAAACAGAGGAACATATATTTCTTTATGGCTACGTAATGCAGCAAGAACCACTACCAGTAGCGTATGAGCGTGGGTTGATCTATTATTATAATTAAAGTAATTCTATTGTCACAAAAATTCAAAATTCTATTATATTATGACATCGCATCCCTATAAGAAATTTGTATATGGAAAGGATACGTTTTGTATATATTTTATGTACGTTTTAATAGATTACGTATACAAATTCCGTATATTTAATAAGCAATTCATTTTTTGAACATTTTTTAAAAAAACTAATGCATACGAAATGTATACGTTATACGGAATTTTTAAACTTAATATTTTTAGAAGATAATTTTACAAAAATCCCATCATAACACGAGATCACGTGATTGTTTATTGTTTTGTTATGATACGTTTTTTGTTTTTTATATAAACCCTTACTTTGATGAGTTTGATCTTCCGATCTTCCTTTCTGTCTTTCCTTTCCTTTCTCTTTTCACTTGTCTTATTTTTGTAAATTTTTCTTCTTTCTTCGTCACCACCCTTTTTAAAAAAAATTTTTTTGATTTTATTCTTTTATTCCCACTCTTCTTTTTTTTTAAAAAAAAAATTCTTCTTTCTATTTCTATTTCCTCTTTATAAAAAATTTTTTATTTTTCTAACTTTGACGTCCTCCCTTTAAAAAAAAATTTTTTTAACTTTCCTAACTTCGTTACCCCTCTTTAAAAAATTTTTTTTTTTGATTTATTCTTTATTCCCCTGTCTTTTTTTATTTATATTTATCCCTTTTTTTATTTCATAGGCCAGCAGATTTTTTTTTGTGAGAAGATTCAGTTTTCTTTTTTCTTTTTTGTAGATCAGTTTGGGAGTCCTTTCCTTTTTGTAGGATGGTTCAGGATTTTTTCTTTTTTTAGGTCAGTTCAAATTTTCTTTTTTTTTTTGTAAGTTGGGTTCAGATTCTTTTCTTTTTGTAGTTTGTTTCAGTTTTGTTGCTTCAGAGTCTTCTTTTTTTGTAGGTTAGTTTTGGATTTATTTTGTTGTTTTGGTTTCTTTTTCATCAGATGCTTCATAATTCTTTTCATTTATGTAAGTCAGACATTCTGGAGTTCTCTTTCTTTTTTTGTAGGAATGCTAACCTTTGGTGACTTGGACGATTGCAGATACTATATGAAGGGGGGTTTTGTTTCCAATTAAGTTAGACGTTCTTATGTTTCTTTTTTTTTTGTTTTTTTAGGTTGTTTGACTCCAAATGAACCTGAACTTATAGATAATTTTGGTTGCAATAGGTGGTTTTAATAAGGAGGGATTTTTCATAATGTATTTGTATTTTGTTTATTTTTTATTTTTTATTTTTTATTTAATTTAATAAAGTAAATTAGATTTATAAAATACAATTATAGTAAACTGTAATACAAATAGTAAATTCAGTAACCAAATCGTATAAATTTCGTGATAAAATCAGTGATCAAATCATGTAAATTCCATATGAATCCCGTGCAAATTCCGTATCCAAACCATATTTTTAGTAATACGGAATTGTGCATTTTTCCGTATCCTTTCAACGGACTATTATGATACGTTATTTCTAAGGAAGAAAATCGTAATAAAACTTTATAAAAAACGTATCCAATTTTTTTATAGGGTCAAACCAATTGTTTATTTACCCTTGTTTTGATGGAATAATTGTTTAACATAACAATTAAAGTCTTACAGTATTTTAAAGGGTTTTAAAAAAAATACAAATAAAAAATTTGTTCATTAGTTGCATAGCCGCTTTTGGTAAAAATATCAAAGATAAGAGATGAGACGCAAATAATTTACCAAAAATATTTGAGCGGTTTTTTTTGCGTCACTAGTTGTATGGCTGCTTTTGATAAAATATCAGAGAGATGAAACACAAAAAAATTAAAAAATATTTGAGCGGTTTTTTTTTGTGTCACGAAAGTTTCCGAACAAGTCAGGCAGTGTTACCATGGTGCATAGAAGTTAAATCGCGTGACTGAGGCTTAACAAAATTTATTCTTTTTTTGTAAATGTGCAGCAAGCTAAGCAAATTCAATATTTTATATTAGTACTATTAACGTTATTTGGGAAAATTTCTTTGTTTCCTTGCGCAAACAAATTAGTATTCTTCAGGCGATTATTTATTAAGGGAGGTAATATACGAGTCGAAATTTGGACGAAATACACCAAAAAGTAAGCTGTCATTTGATCCATCGTCACCGATACACAACATGTTCCTATTCATGTAAAATGTGAAATCCCAATATTTACATTGTTATATAAATTTTTAATTTAGCATTTTTACAATTATTTCATTCTGCAGGAACACACATATACCCCTGTATTTATATTAGCTTAAATAAATACTACAGTTCTTCTCGTCTTTTTTTTTTTTTGAAATAATCAGGAGACTTTATTTACGTGTTTCCGTTTGAAAGTAATTTATGACATACTGCATAGATTCATTATCGCGATTACATTTAAATACGAAATATGGTTATTTTAAAAAAAAATAATTTTCATGAACAATCAATTTTTTTTAAGTTATTATGATATGAAAAATCTGTTACTTGTTAACCTTAAAAAGAGTCATAAAAAACGCCAACGGATTCTATGATGTTCACGTTGAACATTACCGACATTTTCCAGAAGCATCATCACCATTGCTAATGATGCACAGATAAGTACAACCTTTCATAATTTATTCAAGGAGATTATCTTTTTTGCTAAGTTTTATTACCACATGTGTAAAGCGACTTTCGGAACTGAACGGGATTTATGCATATAATTCGAAATAGTAAAGTGACTAAAGTCTTTTACTTTAGTGGTTTCATTCGAAATGTCTTAATATTGTTGTCAAAGGATATAAAGGCGCCATATGTCTGAATGTGAAATCTCAAGTTACCATAATTGCAACTTAAACTCAAAGAGCTCCTTTTTGGAATCAACATCACTTATAATAACTGAAATTATCCATGATTACTATTTCCGGAATCTTAATTCCTCGAGGCCATGAGATATTTTGGTTAGAATTTCTTACTAAAAACTACAAGTTCCGGGTTTATGCTCTAATTTGAAAGGACCCGGATCAGATACGGATTCGGGCTGTCCAGGTTTCCATTGCAGGACTTTAGTATATGATGTACTTTGAACGAATAGCTTGAAATAATCTTTATATCAAAATCGGTTAAGTATGTGAACATATTATTTATTCAAATAAATATTCGCCAAGTTTAGCGAGAAACACAAAAAGTTAACGAAACTGGTAAAAGATAATTCGCTGCTTTTACCAAATACTACTTATGTTTAACTTTCATTATATAGTGATCGTCTATTTACTTTGATGTGCATAGATTAAATCGGATGATGAGGCTTAGCATCATTTGATATACATATATATTCTTTCATCTGGGAATGCAAATATTATCACGCCTACTCTTTCCAGATACGAGAGGAAATGAAAGTAAAAAAAAAATCTATTTACACGGCATTACTTTACATCTTAATACTATATATACAATTATAACTATTCCAAATTTTTTTTTTAAAAAAAGAACGTGAAACACTTCATGAACAATCAAATTTTTTAATTATTGTCGGTGATGTTAAAAAGAATCAACTATAAAAGCATCAATGAAAACGCCAACGGAGAAGTTATTAAGTAAAAAGCTTTTTAATATCAACCTTTTTTAACATGATTAAGTACATATAATACAATCATTTCTTTTGTGAATATTTGAAAAAAACCACATTCATTGATTCACAACTTATCTTTATATACAAATTACAAATATATATATAACGTCAAAATTCTTTTTCTCCTTTCTGAAAACAAACCCGATTTTTTTATACTAAATTCTTTATACACGTAAATATTCATTTATATATCTTATTAAATATGAATCCAACACAATCACATATGCAAAAGATTACTGAGCCAACTATTTCGTATGGTGCACAACTTGATAATGCCCTCAACATTTCATCAAATGTAAATATTGTACAAGGTATTCCGGTTGTTCTTGATAATATGTCTCAAATATCAACTATAAATGTAAATCGACCGTTACAAGAAACATACCCTAATCTCAGCATGGATCCAAGTCTACAACATGCAACCTACTCAACTCAAAACCCTATTCTAAGTAAATATTCGTTCTTTTATGCACCATTCAATGACTTTCAAATGTATTATATCATCTGTGAAGAAATACCGCTAACTTTTGAAAATGTATCACAATTAATAATCAGTGGTGATCATAACAACTCCATCCATAATTATAATAAGTCTAACAGTATTTTTATGTTTTATCATGAACAACCTGAAATTAAGAAAATTTATCAAGTAACATGTGAGATGGTTTCACATACATTCATATTTCAGTTCCTAAACAAGGCTTTTTTTGGTATTCAATACGTTCAGAACGAATATCAACAACAAGAATTTTCCAAGAGACATCAGGAAAATATTAAGTTTCATTTGAAAAAAGACTTGATTCATTATTTGAATCCAAAACAGACGAATGAACAGAATTTTGATTTATTTAAGGGATTTATTCAAGACTATCATTGTATTTTTGAAAGTACAAATAGTGATATTGATATATTTAATCATTCTCAACAGCATGGCGCAAATGTTCTTCCTATTAACTCTCAACAAGATTATGATTATTATAATCTAGGTTATTATGATAATAATTTATATCAATCTTAGAATTAATTTTACTGTTACATAAATAAGATTGTTTAATTTTATTAATGAGTTTTTAGATTTGTTTTTTCTGTTTATCATTTGAATTAATTTTTTTCCTAATAAAACTGGAATTATTTTTTCTTAATTTACCTAATTATGAATTTTTTTTATATCGAGAAACCCGTAGCTACTGTATTAATAAGACCAAATATCTAACTACAGTCTAACCTCGATATACCGATATTCGATATACCGATATACTATTAAAAACGATCATATATACAGATAAAATTTTATTTTCCCACTATATGTGAGGACATATAAATATCGGTATAACTTTGATATAACGATATTTCCTAAAATTTCATATATGTCCCGACATATCGTTATTTAAAGGTTTGACTGTACTGTACATATTACGAATGGAAAGCCATAAAATTAAAATTAATATACGAAATAATAATGTCTTCTAAAAATTATTTTTAGTGAAATAATTTGTTATTGTTTTTATAAAATGAGTAATTGAAGCATTCACATTCAAACCTATATTATTAATAAATTCGTTTCCCTTTTGGAAATTTGTATGACATCACGTGGTATTGAACTCAGGGCACTTCTTATAGCAGGTACATGCCATAGTAAACAATGGGTACCCGAACAGCCAAAGTAAACCATTAATTTTTTTTGAAGTAATTTTGACTTATATGGAAAAATTATAATTAATTTAAGCCAAAGCAGACAAATCTGCGCCTATTGTCTACAAAATTTACCTCTAATTTAACATTTATTATGTAACATTTAGCATTTAATAAACTTATAATTTAGTTCACAAAATATTTACTATTTAAGAAATCTGGACTATTACACAACACAAGAAATAAGTAAATTTCTTGTTTGGTAATACAGAAAAAGGTAATAAATAATTATATGCTTATTAAATGCTAAAAGTCGCATTCCCTGAAATTGATGACAGATCAGGGGTAAATGATCGGCAATCATGTGATACTTGACCAATAAAAATGCATGATTTTTATATATAGAATCAAACACGTTAGGATTTTATTAAAAATTTTGAAAAATTGAACATAGCCCGCATAAACAAAGTAAAATTGAATTAAATTCAGTGAACTTTAACTTTAATTATAATTGTTCAAATATATTAGCCCTATAAAAATTTTCTGGGGAAAATTCCTTATAGGGTAATTAAAAAAAATCCAATAAAATAATTTCTTAACGTTAATTACCAACATAATTTGCTTAACCAATAAATATTTAATAATTTATGTGTAATAATTATTTCACAAATATCAATGATTTTCACGGCTACGCCGTGAAAATCAAGATATTCCAGTGACTCCGTGAAATAACTGATTTATCCCACGATATCCGTACCATAATAATGATAGACCTTTTACTTATCTTTTTTAAATAAACATCACCCGTGAGAATATTAAGAAAAAAAATCGCGAATTTTAACTAGGAACCGTGGGATAACATACGATATCTAACGCTAATAGAAAATGTAATTATTATGCAGACTTCATTAGAGAAAGCATAAATAACAAATAAACAAACTTACAATTATTAACAATTACTTATAATTATTTTTCGTCACTATTATTGAAAACACAAAATATTACAATTATTATTTTACATAATATAACTTACTCTAATTTGTTAAATTTTTAGAGAAATATGCAATAAATATTTTCAAATACCCAGAGAAATATGCAATAATACCCAGAGATATGCAATCAAGCAGCGGAAATAAATCATCGGCCACGTGATTGCCGATTATTTATTTGTTTACCTTTAAAACCTGTTATGTCGATCATTTTATTATCAATTACCCCTAGTTTTTTGCCACGTATTGCCAAGACTCTCCTAGTTGATAAAAAAAAACTTTCTATTTTTGAACGTGGAGAAGTTGTTGGAGCCTGGAAATGTGGTTTTAGCAAGAGAAGATTTAGACAATCCTCGAACTACTGTTCATGACGTTATTTCTGGTTACAGAAAGCACGGGTATGAAGTTCCACCTCCTAGACACCAATTATGACTGAAAGGGACGTTCGGCATTTAACAAACATTCTTAAAAAAGATAGAAAAGTAAACCTTAGGGAACCACGCGAAGATTTTGTCAGTTCAATTACAAAAAATGTATGTAAAAAACTTTAAGTATCTTTATGAACAAGGTTTCTATAGTCGAGTTGGTATTAGAAAACCGTTTGTAAGTGAGAAAATAGGATAAAAAGGCTTACCTGGGCCAGAGAACGAAAAGAATGGACAAATGAATGGGTAATTGTGATTTGGAGTGATGAATCCAAGTTTGGATTGTTCAGAGGAAATAAAAGATTGGCTTGGAGGCGGCCTCATGAAAAGTATGATGTGGATTGTTTAATTCCCACTGTAAAGTCAGGTCAACAAGGGGTGATTGTGGGGATCACGAAATATAACCTTGGTCCATTAGTAAAATTAGATGGAAAAGTAGCAGCTGCGGTGTATGTAAATATATTAAAAAAATTACTTGTTACCATTTCTAGATGACTTGGATGACCGGGAAAACTATTTAATTCAAGAAGACAACGCGCCTATGCACACTGCAAGAATGGTTAAAAGTTGAAAAGAAGAAAATGAGGTTGATAGCCTGCACAGAGCCCGGATCTGAACGCAATTGAAAATTTATGAGATAAACTAGAGAGGCGGGTTTGGGCACCTCCCATTACCAAAAAATAGGGAGGATTTATAGGAAATACTTCAAGATGAATGGTTAAATATAGATATTGGTAAATATCAAAATCTTGTTAATAGTATTCCCCGTCGAGTTGCTGCTGTTATAAAAAAAAATCTATTAAATTTGGTACAGTAATTATCGCGTTATTTAAATTTACAACTTTGCATTAAAATAGATTGGTAAAGAGTATAATACCGGGATTTTTATTATATAAACTTTAATATTATTTAATAATATATTTAATAAATTTCTATTAGCCTGAATAAAAGAAAATTGGTAAAAAAGTATTAAAATTAAAGGTTTTATTATAAGAAACGAACGGACAATTATCTTTACCTCAAAAATTCTGTAATAAAAAACTAGCTAAATAAAACTTTGTTTAACGTTGCTCAAAGTAAAGTTCACAAAGAGCGATTACCAATTTTACGCGATGAAGATCCATGGAAAGGCCCGATACTTGTAACTTAAGTATTTGTTTTGCTTACTATGTTGTGGATTAATAATAAAGTTTGACGTCTGATAATCTAGAATCGTCATAGAATTTAAGAATTAAAAGTATTGGACTAAAATTTCTAAATTAGATTATCAGTGAAAGGATTCATTCGCAGCATCCAGCATCCACCTGTTTCAGTACCTTCTTTTTGGAAGTAGTTATGAAAATAATTAAAACAATAAATAACCATACAGATTTAATTGCTCACGTGTCGCTTTCGGGATTTGATTATATCTTTGCTTTAATTCTTAATACCTATTTATTAGGGTTGTCGTACAAATAATGCAAGTATATTATTTGAAAGTAAATAAATATATTTTGATGTAATAAAAAAAAATTTCGACTTATCTTAATAAAATCTGTGCCGATTAATATGGATTGACATTGACAAATAATCACCCGTTTTATAAATGGTTATATTTGATTATCAGATAATTATATTAAATTATATAATTTTATTCTATTGTTCATATTATTACATAATCAATATAATCATACGTCAATTAATTTTTTTTTGTTTTGTTTAAATATAATATATATAATATATAAATTTATATAAAAATTATTTCGATGATTATGCATGATTATCAGATTACTAATACTTTCAAAGAATACTAAAAATGTAACAAAATAAGTGAATATCCATCGGTTTAAAAAGACCCGATATAATTGAATGATGGGAAGAAAACTCCGGACACAGTAAAATTAAGTGAGGATCATCCCGTCTATCCATTGATAATAATTATCTACGAAATCATTTAATGAATTAAATTTGAAATTTATAAATTTGCAAATTGGCCTGAAACTCTGGAGATATTATCATAATCTATCAGAACGTTCATCTTAACATTCAGCATAGTGAGGGGTAAAAAAATTTTATTTATTTTATTTTTATTTTTTATTTTTATTATATAGACATCGGATCCGGGACTACAAGCAACTGCTAATAGAACGAAATACAAAGATAACGAAACAAAACTAAAAAATATTATCTAAAAGGGGTAAATAAAATATTATCTAAAAAAGGATGATCATGTGATTACATAGTCATTAAAAAATACAACTTAAAAGAAATTAATTAATCGTAAACACATAATGTCGTACACCCATAAGCAAACAAATATTGAAATAAATTATTAAATCTTTTAGATTAATCTCATGTTATTGGATAATTATTATTTTTTTTTTTTGACGATAAAAATAATTTATAGCTAAACCTAAAAAAGTAGAATAAAGATTTTGAGTACTAAACTTTTATAAATTTAATTATTAATATCTTAAAATAAAGCTTTTTCAGATGAATTTTGTTTTGACATAAAATTGAGAATAATACTAACATTGTGTGAATTATATAAATTATTTTAAATCTAAATAAACAAATCTATTATATTTTAATCTTCATTGAATAAAACGTCCGATTCGTCATTTTTTTTTCCAAAAATGCCTTTCAAATTTATTCATCTAATTGGTTATGCAAATATTAATGTTAATTATATAATATATTTTAAAATATATTAAACGGACGCACTTTAAGATTGGCCCGGAAATATTGTACTTTAATCAATCATATAAAAGTTTTGTCCCGCAAAAATTCTCGTCCTAATTGGCTAAATTTCACAATTAATGATGATGCAATAAATTAATTGTCATATCATAATAACTGAATATAAAATGTCAGTCTCCTCAATTAAAATAATCTCCTTGTTCAACTCGGTAAAATTAATTGATATGGATACATTTCAACTTTTAATTGCAAGAAATGCTCCAGCATCGAAATATTTTATCCAACTACTGTTTAAGTGTTTTCTAAAACATAATCAATATTACTTTGACGTTGATAGAAATAATTGTGCTTTTCAAAAAGTTATTTTACTCCGTACAAGTAATTTACCTATGTTAGTTTATAAATTAATTGAAGGATTAGCTAATGCTAACGAAGATTTATCTTCAAAAGGGAACAATTTGGAGTTATTTCATTTCCTTTCTGTTAATCTTCACGTAATAAATCAAGTTCCCAGGATGCTCACAAAGATCGAAAATTCAATATATAATCCTGTCAAATCCCCTCCTAGATCAAAGTCACTTCAATTAATACCGATTCCTAAATATCTTTCGTTCAAGGGTGACTATAAGAAGCAGTTGCGTCAAAGGAATTCCTTAAGGTATAATGTTATTCAAAATTAAACATAAAATATTTCATTTGTTTTTAATTTTCTAAAAAAATGAAAATATTTTATATCTTTTCTTTAAAAACAATACTTATATACAGGATAATGTCTTCTAACAGACCTTTAAAATTCCTTACTCACTTCACTAATAATGTGGAAACATATGGATCACGAAAGATTAAACAAAGAAGGCGAAATCGATATGTAAGACAACGAAATACAAGTATCTATAATTTGAGGTTAATAAATCTTCCTCAACAATCTGTAAATGATCCATTTATTAATATGTTATTCAATGGGATTCCGTTTTAAAAAAAAAATTTCATTAAAAAACGAATTGACAGATCTGGCATATTATATATCGGTAGCTATTCTTTACGTATCAATATTGCGATACGTAAATACAGTATATGAATTAAATATTTTAAGGATACAATAAAAATTAAGCATATTCAATTTAAGATCTTAATAAGTACAATTTATGAATTAGATATTTTAAGGATACAATTTCGATTTTTTTTATATAGAAATGCATATTTACATATTATATCGTAATATTAGTACCTTTATGTTCAGTTCTTCTTAAACGAAACAATAAACGATGTTTATAGACGTTATCCTATACTCATCATGTATATATAAGTCTGGATCCTGATCTTTTTCTGTTATTGAATCATAATATATGCAACGTTCGAATTATTTGATTGAAAAATTTTCTTTAATTAGAAATATTTTTTACATCGACATTATATGTATTATCTTTGAAATAATCAATTAAAAAAATCAATTGACTAAATAGCAATGTCAAATGACCAGATAATTATATTAATTGTACTCAAAAATGGGTTATTTCACTTATTTGTTATTATTCACTCTTGATTCTCGAGTCGACTTCAAAATACACCTCGTTGTTTTCAATTAATGATTGCTATGATATTTTGTTCTAATTTTATTTTATTTTATTGACCACGTCAGGTGATAAATAATAGTTATTGGGTGGAGGGTTGAAATATCACCGAACTGCGAAGCAGTTCAAATGATATACCTAATAACTGTGTTATTATGCAGACGTCCAAGAACATGTTCCATATGAAAAGCATAGTAAACATAGCATAGCGGACATCCCTATTTTATCACAATTTTGCTGATCATTTGCCGATCATTTATCGATCATTTATTCAATTATATCACATAATAAATGCCGTTATTAAAAATTTTACATAATAATATATGCTCAAAATTTACAAAAAACTTAAGTTTGGTTATAATTTGTTGCATATTAAATTTTATTTGAATTGGATTGTTATTGAGTTACTTTTATTAGTAGCAACTTTTTAACTTTTATTATTGTTTTAAATTTTAATAAAAATAATTAGTTAGTAGCATATGTTTTATGGTATTATTTATTAAATTTTGTGATTTATTTAGTTTCATGGCATCAATTTACTTAATTTTGTGACATTAATTTATGTAATTTCATGGTATTTACTTAATTTTGTGACACTGATTTATTTGATATTTATTTATTCATTTTGCAAAATTATTTGTTAAATACCTTACTAATAAAAAATCTGTTTAATGGATCGTATCACTGTTTTATTTTTACTATATATTATATATAAGATAAAGAATATTTGTGCAAAGTTTCAAGTTTCGCCCATGCATATTCACCTTCTTCCATCAATTTTTGTTTGATGATCCGCAAAAATGACTGAATTATCACATACGAAAAATGTGTTATTGTAATATAAAAAATTATACTAATAATTACATAATTAAAATTATATAATAATTTAGTACTTATCTTGGATTTCCATTATTTTTTTGCCATATTATTTTAAAATTATTTATGGCTTTTCAACAAGTTTTTAAAATCCGGAATTATGTGATCGGCAAATGATCGGCAAGGTGATATAAGCATGTCCGCTATGCTAGTAAACATGTGACAATTAATCTATATGACGTAATGCGTCAAAAATATCAAAGATATTTAATTTATCTAAAAAATATCAGTATGATGTTAAAAACAACATGATCCTATTCGGCTGCATAATAACTATATCATATAAGGTAAACGTATCATCAAGAATCTCTGTTATTTCTGACACCATGAATAAATAATACAAACTTTTATTTAAGTCCGTTGAGTAATTTTAACTGGTAGTGCTGGCCGGAATTGCGCATAATTTCAGCCGACACTATTAATCATGTGATTAATTTCTTTACAATTTTTGGTATGCAGTGATTTTTGAATATATAAAATTAGAAACTCTTTCTGACGATCGTAAAATACCAAAAATTCACAGAAGAAATTTTCGTTAAAAAACATATTTCTTTATAGACAAGTACCACTTTTTTCACCAGTTTTGGTCTCTACGTTCTTCTCTGAACATTATCATATGAGTTTTAATATCGGAAAAAAATTTTCAAAAAAATTCCTTAAAAATATAGAAAAATCTTATCGTTCGGTAACTAACGAAGAAGACATATACTTTACATATTCTTCACCAAATACAGTTAAAAATATGTCTAACAGTAAACCTAATAATAATACTGTAACCAATATCGATAAAGTATCTACGAACTGTCCTATGGAAGAAGTAATAGCTACCTCTTCAATTCACGACCTTTCTCACAACGAAATTGAACTCACATCACATGACTCATTAAAAAATGATACTCACACGCAAACACCAATCAACGAAAACTTGACTAATGTGGAGGAAGATCCCTCAAAACCTAATCCAGATAAAGGAAAATCATCAGAATCACAAACAGCCACACAAACAAACTTGCCAAATGCGATTCCAATGACCGTGCTAACTGATATTTTTACACAAACATCACAAGCTTCTAACAAAGCACACAAAGGATTTATTCCCAGAGATAGTTTTAAACCTGCCCTCTCTAACAATGAAATCATTAACTTACTAAAAACGGCATTTATCCGTGACAGTAACGCCTTCAAATTTGAATCTAATACAACTTCCACATACAAATATTTCACTATATACTTTAGAACACGTGACTCACTTAACCACTACATAGAAAAGAGTCCCGATGACCTTAAACAGGTTAAAATATACGAATTAACCAATGAAGCTATCAACACATTACTGGATAAAAAATTCGCTAATTTGGACTCAGCAGTTATAAAAATTATGGACATACCTTATAATTACGACACAATAATGCTTATCAAACACCTCGCTATTAAAACCAACAGCAACATCATAGACCAAAAAGAGCTCAAAAAGCCACCAAGAAAATTACCTAACCGCAATAATCGCGGACGCCCAATTTTCATCAAACCTGCATATAAACAACTAATCGTACGCTTCGATAAACAATCTGCCTACGATTATTTCATGAAAGAAAATTATTGGAGCCTAGAAATAGAAAATTTCGTAGTAAGAATTTTACCGGGCAATCAAAATGACCCTGAGTTTCAAAAGCGCACCAGTAAATATTTTAAAATTACTGGACTACCACTTAACACAACAGCTATGGATCTTGATCCACTTATCAAACACATTTATGGACGTACTTGTACGTTCACACAAACTACTCGATATTCAACCATGAAAAACGCCTATATATACGTTTCACCAGAAAATTATCCTGATAACGCAACGGGAGGCACGTCGTCACAATTCGAAAACCACACCATCTATATCATCCCAGGGCACATATCAGCCAAAACATGCAACACTTGTGGATCACCATTACACATTTCTCAAAACTGTGACAATAAGAACTTCAAAACAACAAGAGACAACCGTAAAATCTATAACAAAAGATTCATTGATAGAAAAGAAGAAAAAATCACAATTCACGAAAACCACAGAAATAGATACAACCACGTGATTTCCCTTAACGCCAACAAAAATTCAAATTCATCACAAACAAACAACAAACGTTCATCACCACAAACAGATAACTGCAATAAAAAACCACAACCTAATAATTTACAATACTCCCGTCAAACAAGACAACCATACAACAAAACACATAATATAAACGACATTAATAACTGGGACGAACCCTCCATGTCTACCCCCCAAAACCTACATCAAAATACATCAAATGATGGGATAGACAAAAGAATCACAGAACTTGAAAAACAAGTCCAAAGTCTCCTAAAAAATATTAAAACTTTACAAGAAAGTAAAATTACAACGGATAAATCGATCGCTGACATCCATCACAACACTAACCTAATGAACACATCACTTACGAATGTGAATACGCGACTAGACAAATATGACACAATCATTGGACATCTCACCACTAACATCAATTTACTTAGCAAGAAAGAAATTTCATCCGCCCAAGAACGCCCTCGCAAAATATCCAAAAAAGCTACACCATATGATCAAACTTCGTATAAATCAACCAAATCCAAATACAACCTTAGAAATAACAAAGAATATAACAATTCAGCCGAAGATAGTGAATTCGTCCCGGCAACAGAAGATGACACTGACATCCCTGATGACGCTGCTATGTCGGATGGTGCCATCTTCAAAGGCATAATTGACAACACACTAGACGAACCCGTGAAAAATGACACTTTCACCGTTAAATCTTATAACCCATTGAACCTCCTCCCGAGTTTCAACGCAACACGTTAATTGTTGATAACAAATCCTCAACACATATTTGGACTCACTTACGATTTCTCCCTTTTTTGATTTTAACGTTTAAATTCTTTTTTACACATTGTTTTAACTAAAATTATTTTTTTTTATGGAATACACCAAATTTACTAACATGGTTGGCGTCGAAAACCAACCTTCATTTCAAGTACCTATTAATTTTTCATCTTCTTCTTCAAAAAATATAGAAAAAACACAAAAAAATACATATAATCAAAATACCAAAAACAGATATAACAATAACAACGACAACAGTCACCACAGCTCAGGATCTACATCATATACTCCTGATATAAACGACGTACCTAACGAAGAACATATTACTAATTTACACGTCGTTAACACCGATAATAATTATTTTATAGATTATCTCAAAATTGGAACCATCAATATTCAAGGGGGCTACAAAACCAAATTAATCGATATTATCAATTATTTTGATACACACAACTTTAACATCCTTGGCCTAACAGAAACACAATATTGCCACAAACACGAAAATAATAAATTAGTCGAAAGACACCCTCATCCAACTAATAAAAATTTATCTATTTACATAATTTTAGACGCTAATGGAGATAACAGGGGCTCTGGCGTCAGCATAATGCTTACTAGTACTTTATACCAACACGTACATCAAATACGTTTTCACAAAGGTCGCGTCTTAAATATCGAATTGGGCTTCAAACGTGACCATAAATTGAACATTACATGCCTTTATCTACCTGCTGGAAGAGACAAACAAACCAACATTATCAAAAAAGAGTGCAACCAATTCATTGACCAACTATTTAGAACACAAAATACTAACGACGATAATCACAAATATTACAACCTCATTATGGGGGATCTCAATTGCTACCCAAAAGAAAAAAATAATCTTAATCACCATATAATTCAGATGGCAAAATTAAAAGGCTTTAAAGACATGGCAAAATTCCATGCAGAAAACCAAACTCCAGATATAACAAGACTCACACACAGAATAGATTATATATTTGGTAATAACAACATTTTAAACGCATCAATTCATACTTTTGCACAAAAAATCCCACCATCACATTTCACTAGCGATCATAAAGCAGTGATTACTCTATTACAAAATGACCTTTTCAAACGCTCTCGACATCGTCAAGGTAACAGACGAAATGAGCAAAAAGAGAAACCCAATTATTCATTAATGAATGATGATTTATGGGAAAATTACAAATTTCATTCAAAAACATATTTTAAACATCGCTTCCAATACATCGATTTAGACAATATTTTGACACAAGATGAATTGGACCACATTTGGAATATATTTGAACATAGTTTACATAACATCAAAAAGTCAACTATTCCTCAAAAGAAAATAACACCCCAAGAACACCATCATTTATACCCTTTACACATTCGCCAATTTAACCGACACGTGATTACTTTATATAAAACGAAACAATTCCTAAATTTAAAACACATTTATATCAGGAATAAAATAGAAATACCAACAGACAAATCTTTGCTTGTCTCATCTATTCCCGACTCAATGTGGACTTCATATTTTAAAAACTGGAAAGTTCATCGTGATCATATACAAAAATTAGCACGCTCAATGGATCACGACATTATATTAAATAATTTTATCACGCAAGAAGATTTCTATGCACAGAGAACAGAAATCTACAAATTATATAATTACTTAAAACAAAAAAGAAATGATGAATTATCACAATGGAAAACTGAACGTATTGATCATTTCATTAATCAAAGAAATTTTGATTTATCAAATAATCAAACAAAAATGATTAATTCAATACTTCAACGAAAACCTAGAAAAATTACATTAGACCGATTAATCTTCAAAGATAATAATAACGAAACCATATTTACTAACAATCCACAAATCATACAAAAAGAAACTATTAAACATTATCAAAATATAGGTAAACATGATAACCAATTGACGTACCACTCTATTGATGACTTACCTCTACCGTGGCGTACGATATATGATCTGGCCAATAATCATTTTAATAGTGATTGTTGGGATACACTTCAACAACAAATCGATATTTCCGATGTATTAGCCATCTTGAAAAATTCTCCTTCTAATAAAGCACCTGGTCCTTCACAAATTACCTATGAAGACTTGAAGCACCTACATAAAGACGTATTAATATTACTTACTCAGATCTTCAACTTATGTATCCATTTAGATACGATACCCACAAAATGGCGTGACGCTCTGCTATTCCCAATACCGAAACCACATGACTGGGATAGTAAACTTACGAATACAAGACCTATCACCCTTTTGGAAATGACGAGAAAATTGATGGTTTCAGTTTTTTATCAGAGATTAAATCAATCATTAGCGAAATACAACATCCTACAATTCAACAACCGTGCGGGTGTTTTGGGACAATCATGTTTAGAACCACTGTTCCAAATACAACATTTGATCGAACATGCACGTATTTACAAGAAACCACTATGGATTGCCATACAAGATTTATCAAAGGCTTATGATAGAGTCGATATTACATTATTACGATTAGCTCTGCAATGTATTAAAATTCCGGAAAAGATAATTACTTTTTTCATTAATTTATTTTCTAACCGATACAACTCCATCATCCTACCTAATGGAAACCTAGCATCATACAAGGTCCTACAGGGTATAGACCAAGGCGAAGTTGTTTCACCGCTTTTATGGAATATATATTACGACCCCCTGTTTTATCACATTAATCAACAATCACATCTTGCTTATAAATGTGATACTACGAAAATTAAAAATATTTACCACAAAGACTCCGACATTATTCATAATTTTGAATTATCCTTGGTCGGATACCTCGATGACACCACCTGGTTTAGTCCTTCTCTAGAAACACTAGAAACTAAATTAGATATCGCATATTCATTTTATGACTTAGCAAAAATTAAAGTGAACATCGACAAATACAAAATCCTTACAAACCAACGATTAGGTAATGATAGAAAAACTGTACAACTTACCATCAATGGACAAAACACAGATGTTAATATTGTCTCTAAATATAAAGGCACAAGAATCTTAGGATTATACATCAACCCTTTAGATAGACACCAACAAACATTAATTAAAGCGCGTTCGATCATCATGAACCACGTGATATAATGCGCCACAAAAAAATTGCTCATTCTCACGCAATATATATTATTAACAAAGTTATTTTTCCAAAGTTGGAGTATCTCTTCCAGCACACGATCTTAAATTATATTTAAGTACAGAAACTGGTTGTACCTCTTAAAAAATTATTCAAAAAATTCTTTTCTCTACCACTTAATACGGCAGACAATATCATTTATAATAACATGTATCCACATATCGACAATTTGATGGATTTATTAGTCAAATCACAATTAAATGCACTATCGGCTCTATTCAATACTGATACCTTAAGACCTATAGCGATCCAAAAATTGGATATATTAACTCACGAACTTTGGTATCCAGGAATACCTCGCGACATCAACAAATATATAGGAAAAATTTCTTCACCGAGTTATTTATCAAAGAGTCTAGCTTTACTAGAACAATATCAAATTCATCTGGATCCCACTATTAGTTATGGCATCATAGGAGGACACACACCAATAGTGGAATATCTTCTGAACTTATCTTCTAATGATTACAAATCTTTACGAAACAAAAGGATCATGTACCTCAACCAACTTGTGTCCGCAGATGGTAATTACCTTCTGACCTGAAACAAAGTGAAACGTTTAAACAACAACAATTTTAAAGGACCTAAACCAAAATGGTTTAAATTATTAGAAAATGACTTCACCCTAAGTAATTATCGTACTTTAACACACCTGCTTAACGATAATTACACAATTCCAACACGCTTACAACACATCCCTGATCAATCCTTGGGTAATCACAAAAAACGTAATGAATGGACATATCATTGGGACGCTAGAATACAAAATTGTATTATTGGAAAAACATATATATAAGATACCGACACGCGTAGTTCCATTACCACCATGGAACATTATTTACCTTTTAATAATCCTTCAATATTAAATAATGTCACCCCTCAATCACCACGTTCTTTACCTTTAATTTTAACCCCTTGTTCAGGTTGTCATCTTAATGACCATAGTTTAATTTTGCAAGACGCGTGTATTAAATGTTCAATTTCTATTCGTACGAACCGTCTTTCAACCTTTAACGTTTTTAATCATTCAAACCAAGAACATAAAAGATTTAAAAATCTTCCTCTATCTAAATATTATGTCAGCACCAAACCCTTATATCAAATTAGACATAGCGCACACAGCATTTATTTAGCTCAACATAACGTTAACACAGTAACTTCCACTACTACAACATTAGAACTACCATCTTTACATGATCCAAACCATGTCCTTCGACAATTATCGTCAGTAATAGATTCTGCCCTATTATGTGACGACAAAATCAAATTAACTTTAATAGACATAGCTTCAAAATTTCTTTTTTATACTAACTTTCAATTTTATTCAGATGGTTCTGTTTCAGATATAGGTACAATTAATAGCAAATCTGGATTTGGCTGGGTACAGACGGATCCCCTTTTACCACAAATTTCTTTTTTGGGTTCTACTATTTTTTTCCCTTCTTCTTTCAAAAGCGAAACTGCGAAAGCTTTGCTATTTTGACAATTTTATTAGTTTACCTCCCAATGCCACATGTGAAATATTTACCGACTCACAAAATTGTATAGATACTTTTAATCAACGTCTAGGTTCACCTACTATAAGTCCACGACGCAGGCTTAAACAAAATAATTTCTTAATATGGGATCTTATAATGTGGTTAATATCACAACATTACCTCACGGTCCAACTGAGAAAAGTCAAAGGACATAGTAACGACAAGGCTAATGATCAAGCAGATGCCCTAGCTAAACGAGGCAGATATTCGCTCGATCCAATCATCATCAATCACAAATTTTTTCATCGAAGTTCCTTAGCGCTGTTCAATTACAATCATATCA